CTTGCTTTCTTACAGAAGCTGGGGTGCCATGATTCTGTCCCCCAAGCCCTTATGAGAATGCCCCTTATGACCTCATAGTCACACACTAAATTTGACATCATGAAGAGAACATTTCCTTGTGATCTCCACATGGCCACCATGTTGTAAAAACTAAGATGTCAGACTCGAAATGTGGAGTATGACTTTGTCTTTCCCTGGATCTGCATGCGGAAAGGAAGAAGACTGGGTGCACACAAGCTAAATCTGAGCTACTATCACACTGAAGCACGCAATGGCCACGAAAGGCATGAGGTTGAAATCCACAAAAGAGGGAAGTAGAACACTAAGCAGTGGGTTTTTCTTAAGTACGTTAAGTCAGGAGTCAAGCTGATCATGGCGAAATGTTGTAATGTTGCTAGATTTTCTGTGGTATTGATTTACAATTGTGCCAAACTTGGCAAATTTGGAGACCTATTTACAGACTTCTAAAGGGATATTTTTTCCAGGGAGAGAAAAGCCTAAGGGACTTGCACTTTGTTGAGACTGATCTTTTTTTCTTCTAAGGGTTTATGTGACATACAGCTCTATTTCCAGAGCTGATTTTCTTTTTAATTTCTATAAGCTTCATTCTGTTTTCAAAGTTCAGTCCTCCCACCTTTCAGCCCACTGTCTGGCTTCTTCTCTCTGACAAGAATGGTTTAGAAGCCACATGGTGAATTCATGTGGTTGTTAAGTAGCAAGATTGGACTGTGCAGTTTCTTAACTTTTCTTTCTCTTCAGTTTTCTAAAACTTTGCCTATTGTTTGTTTTAGTCTTGCTGTTTAATTATAAAACTAAATATATGTACTTAAAAAAAAATGAAACAACGCAGTAAAAAGTAAAAGTGTTATCTACCTTCTTCACTTGTCTTGAAATCCCAGTTTTTAGAAGTAACCACTACTGATAGTTTTAAACCTATGTTTTAAATGTTTCCCTTATTTTAAAAATAAAGCATTTCAGATAAAACTGCATCCTCCTGTGCAAACCCTTTTTGTTCCACTTTGCATTCCTCCTTCTCCAGATAAACCCTAGCATGAATTTTCTTATATATTTTAATATTCTCAATACAAAAGCACTGAAACATTGTCCTACAGGTTTAAAACTTTATAGAAATGGTATTACATTGTAAGCACCATTATGAAACTTACCATTTGTTTTAACATTATGTTTTTGAGATTTTACCTATCTTGATTTATTTTTTCCTGTTCTATTTTTCCATTAAGTGCAATATCATTTTTTATAAATAATAATATATTTGAACTTGTTTTAACCTGTTATTTTTTGTGCTTTCTGTTAAATATCATTTTAGTTTCTTCTTTCCTGTCTTTTGTTGGATAAAGTTGTTAGTATTCCCTCTTCCCCCACGCTCACCTGCCGGCTGCTTGTGTGGAAGCAGTATATTGTATTTCTGTTTCTTTAGCGATTATTTTTAAAGTTTTGGCCGGGCGCGGTGGCTCAAGCCTGTAATCCCAGCACTTTGGGAGGCCGAGGCCGGTGAATCACGAGGTCAAGAGATCAAGACCATCCTGGTCAACATGGTGAAACCCCGTCTCTACTAAAAATACAAAAAATTAGCTGGGCGTGGTGGTGCGTGCCTGTAATCCCAGCTACTCAGGAGGCTGAGGCAGGAGAATTGCTTGAACCCAGGAGGTGGAGGTTGCGGTGAGCCGAGATCGCGCCATTACACTCCAGCCTGGGGAAAAAGGGCGAAACTCTGTCTCAAAAAAAAAAAAAAAAAAAAAAGTTTAATGTACATGACAATTTTTTAAACTAAGTCCCAAGATATTTTGTAGTGTTTTGTTTTTGTTGTTGTTCTTGTTTTCCGGATGAAGTCTTGCTCCATTGCCAGGTTAGAGTGAAGTGGCACAATCTCGGCTCACTGCAACCTCTGCCTCCTGGCTTCCAGTGATTCCCCTGCCTCTGCCTCCCAAGTAGTGGGGATTGCAGGTGCATGCCACCATGCCTGGCTAATTTCTTTTATTTTAGTAGAGACAGAGTTTCACCAACAGGTCAGGATGGTCTCAATCTCCTGACCTCATGATCTGCTCACCTCGATCTCCCAAAGTGCTGGGATTACAGGCATGAGCCAGCCGGTATTTTGTATTTTTATTCTCCTCTCAAACACAATTGGGGATTTTAGTACCTTTTAATTTGTCATTAAAAACCCTTCCCCCCCAAAAAAAAACACTGTCACTGTGATTTAGAGTTTCACTTTTGCCTTTCAAACATATACAGTAATCTTTTTTAACTTTCAAGAGTTATTAAATTTTTTAACAGTTTCAGCTGTATGTATTTTAATATCTAAAAACATCTCTTTGCTGTCGAATGATAGTTTAGCTGAATAGAAAGGTCTCTGTTGACAGTAAATTCTCCTTAGCAAATAAAAATATCCTCTTCACATATCTGATATATACTACTCTTATACAGTCTGTTTTGCTTGAGTTGCTTTTAAGATTTTTTTTTAGATTCAGTATGCTACAGTCTTATGATGATGTGTCTATGTGTGGATTTATTTTTAGTCTTTTGTCAAGGGCTGATTTTTTATCTAAGGACTTACTTCTTTTATTAAACTCTAGAAAACTCAGCTATTATCATTTCAAATGCATTGCTTGTCTAACCATCTTTATATTCTATTCTTTTAAAATGTCAATTGATATATATTGAAGTTTCTCAATCATCATCTATTTATCTATACTATTTTTGTCTCTCTGTGCAATATTCTGAGGAAAGTCTACAGTACTTTCTATCACCCACTTTGCCAGTTCTTTTTTTAATTTTGTCTAGCCTAGAATTAATTCTATTAGGATTATTTTTTGTTTCAATTATAATGTCTTTTTTCCAAGATAGGGTTTTTCCTTGTTTTTTCCCATCCATTACTAAAGTAAGTTTTTATACTTTTATATAGCTGTAACATCTTTGAACAACCTAATAATAATTTTAAACATAATTTAAAGCCATTGTTAGATGGCTCATAAAATAAATTTACTATCAAATGAATTGGCATTCTAGTTGTTGATTTGCTCAGCTATGATTTCGGCATTTTTTGGTGTGTACTTGGGAATTCTAGTATGTTGGCTGATTTTAACAAGATTCTTTAAAAATCTGCCTTTTCTCTTTCTCCTTCTATTTTGCAGTTGCCAAATCCATCCGCTTGATCCACCCCCCAGCCCTCATGAGCATTTACAGCTCTTGTTCCATGGTGATGTCGTGGATATCACAGATTCAAAGAGTGCCTTGATTTAGGTCTTGATTGTGAGGCTACATCAGTATTCACTCTCCCTAGGCAGGACCTTCTTTCAGGGGTGAGAGACACTCAAACCAGTGCTGACATCAGGCACCGAGCCTGACACAGGCCTTCATTTTTCAGAACCCTTATAGTCCCACTAGCTTTCCAGGGGCTGAGCTCCCATTGCCCTGCCATCTTTGGACACACAGCTTAACAAGCCCACAGCTTCAGCCCCACCACATGTTTACATTTCTGCTCAGCTTTTTGTCTCTAGAAATATATTTATCATAATTTGTCCTTTTATTTCTCCCTCCTTCCCTCCTTCCTTCCTTCCTTCCTTCTTCCTCCCTTCCTTGTATTATTTTCTTAAACATAGCAACAGCAATAACATTGTTGTATCATTTTGCAGACAAGGGAAACATAAAAGCATAAACTATATCATCTTAATTACAATTAAAAATTTATTTCTTAAAAATAATTCTCCCACATTTCTAAAATGCCTACATGTTCCTTATGGGTGGAATCATTTTTGAAACAATGACAGTATAGCTTGTTATTTTTCTGTTAGACTTCTTTGCTTTTTTGTTTAAATATTAATATATGGAATATACCTTTTTGGGAACATGTATTTATTCCTTTATCGACAAACATTTGTTGAGGGCACACTGTGTGCCAGGTACTATTCTAAGTGATAGGAATGCAGTAGTGAATACCACAAAATTTCTTGTTCTATGGAACTTACATTCTGCTAGAGAGAGGTAGGTAATATGCAAATAGGTACACATAAAGTTACAGTTACCATTAAGATGAAAGAAGAATTGGGAAGAAAAGACTGAAGGAGGGTTTCTGTTCTAGAGAAGATGAAGTAAGCATCCATCACCCAGTTTCTCCCTTTGAATACTACTGTAAATCTTGGATAGAACACATGGAGAAGCTAACAGTAAACTTTGAAATTGAAAGAGTACCCCAAAATTGGGGAAGGAGACCAGAATTCAAAGTTCTACCAAACCAGGACATTTACTATCTTTTCCCCCGGAGCTGCCTGGCATGAAATCAGAGGTATCCCAAAACCCAGAATTAAGTAACAGGCACAGAAACAACTCAAAAAGAAGCCTCATTTTCTGGTACTCTGCTGTTCTCACAGAATGTGATTTATTTATCACTAAGCATTCTTTGTTTGACATGTGTAAGAATCTTTTATCTGAGATTGCACCATTGCACTCTAGCCTAGGTGGCAAGAGTGAAATTCCGTCTCAAACGAAACAAAGCAAAATAAACAAACAAAAAATAAGAAAAATAGTCAAAATATAGTAACTGCAATAAAATATTCTCAAAAGAAAATCAAATGTAAAATAAACACATCAAAAAGGTGTTTAACTCAAATAGCAATTTAGAAAGAAACAACGAGATCGTATTTCTTATTGCCTACCCTTAACAATTTGACAGAGACTTCTGAAGATAATTCTCAGTTCTGATTAAAGTTTTCTGAAACACTTTTGGTTGTTGTTTTTTGTTGTGCGTGTGTGTGTGTGTGTGGTGGTGGTAGTGGTGATTTCTAAAATATATAATTTTATACATTGAAAGGTAAAGGTTAGCAATGATATCTCTGATTCTTTTTTCTCTGTGATGTACTGTTTTCTAACAGTAATTTTTTTGTATATTGACTTTATAGTCAATTATACAGCTATGTATATTTTCAAAGGCATGCATCAACCTGTCAAGTGACACTTTCCTTTCCCTCGGCATTGACATGTAGGTGTTCCCTGTGGCACATGTGTGCAATGACACAAATAAGATGACATTAATTAACCCCCAAGGAGTCAAGCTCAATATCTACAAGCAAAAAGTGGAACAGGCAATTCAATCCTATGAAAAGTGAGTATTACTCTCAGCTGCTCTTTAATGGATATGGAATTTATTTTATGGAGGAGGAGATTTCTCTTGTTTTAGCTTAGCTTTATTTAAAAAAAAATGTAAACAATAGCAAAGACCTGGAACCAACCCAAATGCCCATCAATGATAGACTGGACAGGGAAAATGTGCTACATATACACCATGGAATACTATGCAGCCATCAAAAACGGTGAGTTCGTGTCCTTTGTAGGGACATGGATGAACCTGGAAACCATCATTCTCAGCAAACTGACACAAGAGCAGAAAATCAAACACCGCATGTTCTCACTAATAGACAGGTGTTGAACAATGAGAACACATGGACACAGGGAGGGGAGCACTACACACTGGGGTCTGTTGGGGGGAAATAGGGGAGAGACAGCAGTTGGTGGGGAGTTGGGGAGAGATAGCATGGGGACAAATGCCAGATATAGGTGATGGTGAAGAAGGCAGCAAATCACACTGCCACGAGTGTATCTATGCAACAATCTTGCATGTTCTTCACATGTACCCCAAAACCTAAAATGCAATAAAAAAATGAAGGGGCTATTTAAAATTGTTCAGGCTGGGTGTGGCAGCTCATGCCTGTAATCTCAGCACTTTGGAAGACCAAGGCAGGAGGCCACCTTGAGGCCAGGAGTTTGAGACAACCCTGGGCAACATAGAGAGACCTTGTCTCTATAAAAAAATTTAAAAAATAATATCACAACAGGGTGATTGCAATCAACAATAATTTGTACATTTAAAAATAATTAGAAAAGTATAATTAACATCATACTCAAGAAAGGATAAATGCTTGAGGTGATGGCTACCCCATTTACCCTGATGTGACTATCATACATCATATGCCTGTATCAAAATATCTCATGTAACCCACAAATATATACATGTACTGTGTACCCACAAAAATAAAAATAAAATTATGTGATGAAAAATAAATAAATAAATATTAGCTGGGTGTGGTGGTGCTTGCCTGTAGTCCCAGCTACTTGGGAGGCTGAGAGGGGAGGATCACTTGAGCCCAGGAGTTGGAGGCTGCAGTTAACTATGACTGCACCACTGCACTCCAGCCTGGGTGATAGAGTGAGACTCATCTAAAAAAAGTTGTTCATAAGGAATATCAACAACAGAGGCAGCAGCTAATGTAGGGGCTTCCTACATGCTAGGCATTGCATCAAGTACTGTACCTGAATATTTTCAACAAGGTTTTAAAGAAACCGTCTTCCCTTTCCAAAATCTATTAAAAAATCTCATTTCCATGAGATCCTTAAAGTTTTCCTTTTAGCAGAATGCCTCTGATTGTTTTGGAATCTAACATTCTGTAAAATGATTAATAAAACTCAACAATAATGAGATAACAGAAATAACAGGGTTTTTTTTAATTTTAAAATTTCTTTTATCAAGTTCAAAATGATGATCAAGTTGATGGCAATGAGAATAGCCCTTGTGTTCTGGCTGAAACAGGAGCCTCTGCTCCTACGCCAATCCTTGTCCATGCTGTAGTCACCTCCCTCCCCAGTCCCCAGCCCTTAATTAATCCTGGGTGCACAAACTTAAACTCTGAGCATTCCAGCTTCTTCAGGCCAGCCTGTCGTCAGTTCTGGGAACTGTGCAGTTGGGTTGTCATTTGCCACCACATGGGCAGGTGAAATAAAGTTCAGGAAAGTTAACTATTGGCCCAGGCCAGCGTGTGTTGGTCTGCTGTCATTTTGCAATGTGTCTAGCTGTGTTTCAAACAAATATAAGTCCTGATCCTGTCCCGTGAAGCACGTGATCCAGTCCAATGGCAGTCCTTGTCCCATGGTGCCCATCCCAGGCATCTCCATGCCCCTTTTAATGTGAGCCTCTTCCGCTGCCCTCACCAAAGAGTGGAGGCTGCCTTACTGGGCTTCTCAGCAGCCTCCATGGGCTTCTCAGAATTTCTGAATCTTTACCTGAGAGAAAGGAAGAACCAAGGATGAGCCTTTCTTTGGGAAACAGGATGAGCTATTCAAGGCTCACCCTTTCCCGTGGGTCGGGGACTTCCAGACAGGCCTTGTCTCCTAGCTCGGCTCCTTTCCTGTTAGGCTGCTGTCCCCAGCTGGGTCTTTCATCCCTTCTCACCTCTGCACCAATGACCCACCTCAGAGAGGCCTCTCAGGAGTGCTTCTCCACACCCACCCTGCATGTGACCCTCAGAGCACTCATGGCTTCTACAAGGGCAGTGGCTTGATGACCATTTCTGCCCTCTAGGATGTCAGCTCCCAAGGCCAGGGGCTCAGCCATCTTTGTTTCCTCCTTCACCCCCTATTCCTAGCAGGTGCCGTATGTATATGACTATTCAAATTTTATATAATTCAATTCTTCAAATTCGGTCATTCAAAATACAATATGACAATGCCATTCAAATTCTAATGTAGTTTGCTTGAATAATCCAAATATTTGAGTGCTATAATTACCTGGCCTGTGAATGTCTGGTGCAGGGCCACAAGCTAGATAGAGCTCTGTGGTCACACGGTTTGCGGGGGTTTCCTGCTTGGTTCTGACACCAGCATGTGACAGTTGTGAGTCTCAGATTCCTTGTTCACAGAATCTATCTCACAGGTCTGAGTGAGGATTGTGTAAGTCACATATAAATGGGAACTGATATTCCTTACTTCTCTCTTTCACTTGTGGCTCTGCTGACCCTAAAATGACCATAGTGCATGGAGTGAAATTGTCATCTGGCTCTTCCCACCGCATTGACCTTTTCCCAAGGATTTCAGGAAAGGTCAAGGGCCCCCATTCCCAGGCCAAACGGAGGCCTCCTTTCTTAGCAGCAAAACCAAAACAAATATAAAGTCATTTGTCCTCCTTCTTTCAATGAGTGAATCTGGAAAAGCCTCTAGAGAAATATTGTTACTGTATTGTTATTAGTTATATTAACTTAAAATTATTAACAATTTTAACATGATTGATTTTTAATAATTAAGTTACTGATTGAATTGTTATTTGATATTGCTAATTTGATGTTTCTATCAAGTAGATTATTTAACATTGTTATTTAATAATATTAGTATTAGCATGAATATTATACAGAACCAAATTTCCTGATCATTTGCAGTCAGTAGTGTTTAAGAGTGTTGTTGGTATAAATGTCAATTTCTTTTTCCATTTTGCTTCACTTTTCTCAAGATATGCAGAATATGAAAAATAATTAATGACACATTTACCACCCCCATTCCTAATATAACATTTCTAAGGAGTTTTCCAACAAAACTCCTTAACTTTAAAAATAACCTTCATGTAACCATAAATCCATATGTTTAGGGATGACCAGGCAAATGGAATGCTTACAGTCTTTTGGTCAAAATAATGACAGAAACTTGTTATTGGGATCACACTTAGTGCCCATGCATGGGAGCCCTTTCATCTCAGTATTTTAAGAATCAAGGCAGCAATTTTGGCTTTGTGTGTTTGAGTATAAGCTTTGAGTGAATATTGCCAGGGCTGGCTAGACTCTGGAGTGATTTTTCTGCTGCTTACTTTCATTGAAAGTCTAAGGTCAAGGTCACAGCTCTCAGATCACAGAATTGGCATCCATTCTAACCTGGCTCTGATACCATGCTTAGAAACCTCTCCTTACTGTCTCCAATTTGCTGCGCCAGCTGCTCCTCAGCCTTCTGAAGTGTCACTAGTTACAAGTTGCTTTGCAAATGAGTCAACTTTTGGCACAAGCAGATTTGAGAATTAGAGATAGAGAAAGTTAGTGAATGCAATCCCTTAGCCAAATTGCACTCTCCTGCAACAAAGAGGGGAACTGTTGTTAGTAAAATCCCTGAATCATGGGTCTGGACCAGCTGCAGGAGGCCCTTGGGTCCAGTGGGGAGCACAAACCCCACAGGGACTCCCTCATCCCACTTGCTGAGTGGCTTTCCTCAGATGCCTCCCCAGTCAGTATAGTCATTGAAATATTTCAGTGAAGACGGAAAATAGGGGAGTAACAAAGGTTATAAAAATATCCTCCTGGAAAAATATTTTCTAAAGTATAGAATTAAAGTTAGAGACCTGTGCTAGCAAACTGGACCCACATTTACCAGTGGGTAATTACTCAGCATTTCTAAGCCTTGTTCTTCAGAATCTGGAGGGAATAAACATTGAGCTATTCCTGGTCGCTTTATATACACATCTCAATTAATCCTCTCAAGGATTCCAAGGGCAGGTGGTGTTAGTTTGTCTTATCAATGAGCAAACAGTTTTCAGAAGCTATGTAGCACAGGATAACACAGCAGCAAAGTGAGGACACCAAGATTTGAACCCAGAGCCACATTGTGCCAAAGCCCTTACCCACACTCCCAGCCTCCCCACCACACGGCCTCTACTCTGAACATTTACATTTAAGGGGATTGTGAATGGTTGTTCTTACAAAAGCACAAAAGATAGCTAAAATGCATACTATAATCCTTTTAACAAGTCTTGGAAACCCTAATCATTATTACCTGAATCACGTAATTCAAGAAAGCCAATTTCCAAATAGGCCCCAAAGAACCAAACATTTCAAGTGAGACAGTAGCACTGAACTGGTTTATTTCCCTCTTCCTGACTCTTTTTCCATCACTTACAGCACATTTACCTGAATCAGACACAATTTATGTGCTGTGTACGCACTAGCTCAAGTCCTCATGGTGACTCTAGGAGTGGAGAGGTACTATTACTATCCCCATTTTACAGAAAAGTTGGGCACTGCCCCAAAGTCTCGCAGCAAAGAGAAGAAGCTGACTGAGCTTTGGGCCTTGCATTGTGGTTCTGGAATCTACCCTCTTCACTACCGCAGACCCCCTTTCTGTGTTCTCACCAGGCTCATAATGGGAGGGCAGGGCAGGAGAATGCGCCTATCCCAGATGTGTTCTCTGAGCCCTGTCCTGCTAATGCTGGGTCCAGTGATTAGAAGAATGCCTCCTGAAGAGCAGTAGCGTGCTCCTACCTCATTGTATGTCTGCAGTGCTTTTAATGGAACACCAGCTCACAACCTCTGGAGCGAGCCAGTGTTCTGTGCCCTATAGGCCAGAAAGTCTGCTTCAGGATAATGATCTCCTGACACAGAACTGGGCTGGAAACTCCGAAAAAGCAACACTGATTAATAGCCAAAAGAACAGCTATAGCCACTCTGTAGAAACCACTCACTTCAACCTCCTTCTTTCTTGGGTCGACAGCTTCCCTCTGAAAACATGGTGAGTCTGAGTACCGCCAGCCAGCAGCCTGTGGGTGAGCAAGGTGCTTCACATCCAGCTGCCTGCCCATCCCCAGCAGCCTCATTTGGAAAACAAGGTGGCCAGGCTGCTTGATCTCTAAACTGTGTCCCAATCCTATTATTTATGACCGAATCCAATCCTATCTCCTTTGATCTGAGAATCCGGGCAGAAAAGTGTCTACAGAAAGCAGAGTAAAGAACAGGGTTATGTTTTCCATAAGAAGAAAAATTGTGGGTGTTTAGAAATGGCTTAAAACAGAAATAATGAAGACCAGTTTGTCAACTGCCTTTGCTCAGTCTGGGTTTTACCTGACAGGCACTGAGCCCATCTTTAATGTTTGATGCAGTTGCCACAAAGCCATGAGGCTGCTGCAGTGATGCTGGGGTGACACATCCAGTCTCTTTAAGCACACGACAGGGCCTGACTCAGAGGGGATGACGCTTAGATGGGCTCCCACTGCAGTGCCTGGGGTCAGCCCTCTGCCGTGAAATGAAGTATTGCTACTAAATTATTGACTTTTTTTTAAACAGGCGCTTGAATAAAATTGTTTGGCGAGCATTATCTCAAGAGGAAAAAGAAAAGTAAGCCATTCCCTCCTCACTTTTTTTTTTTTTTTTTTTTTGGTGAAATTTACGTAACCTAAAAATTAGCTGTTTTAAAGTATACAATACAGAGGTATTTAAAATATTCAAAATGTTCTGCAAACCACTACCTTTTTCTAGTTTTAAAACTTTTTCACTACCCCAGAAAAACACCTTGTACCCATAAATTAATCACTCCCATTCCTATCTCCGCTTTTCTGGGTTACCACCAGTTTGATTCCTGTCTCTATGATTTCGGCTACTCTGGATATGTCATATGAAGGGAATCATTCAGCATGTGACCTTCTGTGTCTGGCAGCTTTTACTTAGTTAATGGAAAAACTTCATGTCTTCAAGGTTCATCCAAGTTGCAGCATGTGTCAGTACTACATATGCATATATACGCCACCTTTGTCTGTCCATTCTTCCATTGACAGGCATTTGGGTTGCTCCTCCTTTTTTGCTATCATGAAACAATGTTGCTATATGCGTCCGTGTAGAAGTTTCTTTGTGGACATATGTTTTCATTTATCTTGGGTATATATCTAGCAGCGGATTTACTTGTCACATGGTAATTCTATGCTTAACTTTTTGAGGCACCACCAAACTGTTTTCCACAGTGGCTACGCCATTTTTAGAAAATATTTTTATAGACTCATAATAATTGTACATATTTCGGGGTACATGTGATATTTTGATACATGCACACATGTGTAATGATTAAATCAGGGTGTTTAGGCTATCTATCACCTTACACATTTATTAACTCTTTGTGTTGTGAACATTTCAAGTTGTCTTTTCTAGCTATTTTGAAATATACAATAAATTCTTGTTAATTATGGTCACCCTACCGTGTTAGCAAGTGCTAGAACTTTTTCCTTCTACCTAACCGTATGTCTGTATTCATTAACCAACCTCTCTTCATCTCTCCTGCCACCACACACGCTCTTTCTTGCCTCTGGTAACTACAATTCTATTTTCTGCCTCCATAAGATCAACTTTTTTTTTTTTTTTTTTTTTTTTTAGTTCCTACAGATGAGTGAGAACATGTGCTATTTGTCTTTCTGTGCCTGGCTTATCTCACTTAACATCTGACCTCCAGTTCCATCCATGTTGCTGCAAATGACAGGATTTTGTTCCTTTTGTGGCTGAATAGTATTCCATTGTGTATCCATCCAGTATACACAATGGATATATATATATATATATATATATATATATATATATATATATATATATAAAATCACATTTTCTTTATCCATCTGTTGATGGATACTCAGTTTGATTCAATATCTTGCTGCCAATAAACATGAGGGTGCTGATGTCCCTATGATATATTCTGATTTACTGTTTTTGGATAAATGTCCAGTAGTGGGATTGCTGGATCAGGTGGTAGGTTCTTATTGCTCTACCTCCTCATGAACACTTGATATTTTTCTTTATTTTTTTCAAGTCATCCTAGTGTGTTTGAAAAGCTATTCTATTGTGGTTTTGATATGCATTTTCTTAATGACCAATAATGTTAAAAACATTTTTTCATGTGCTTGTTGTCCATTTGTATATCTTCTTTGGAGAAATATTTAATCAAGTTCTTTGTCCATTTTCAAATTGGGTTGTGTTTTTGTTATTGAGTTTTGTTGTATGACTTCTGAGTATTAAGTCATTATCAGATATCTGATCTGCCAGTGTTTTCTCCCATTCTGTGAGTTATCTTTTCATATTCTTCATAATGTCCTTGGATGTCCAAAGGTTTTTAAGTTTTAGGAAGTGAATTTATCTTTTTTTTTCTTTTGTTGTTTGTGTTTTTGATCAAATCTAAGAATCCATTGCCAAATACAAAGTCATGAACATTTATCCTTTTGTTTTCTTATAATATGTTTATGGTTTTAGCTCTTAAATTTAGGTTTTTGATCCATTTTTGGATATGGTGTGAAGCAGGGTTCCAACTTGATTCTCCTGCATTTAAATACCCAGTTTATCCAGCACTATTTGTTTAAGAGACTATGCTTTCCCTTTGAATTGTCTTGGTACCCTTGTCAAAAATCATCTGATTATAAATGTTTGGGTTTATTTCTGGACTCTCCTTTCTATTCCACTGGTCTATATGACTATTTTTATGCAAGTTGACACTGTTTTAATTACTGTAGATTTGTATTAAGTTTTGAAATTGGGAAGTATGAGTCCTTCAACTTTGATCTTCTATTTGAAAATTATCTGGACTATTCAGGCCCCTTGAAATAGTATATAAATTTGAGGATTGATGTTTTTATTTCTGCAAAAAAAATTGAAATTTTTATAGGGATTATATTTAATCTATAGATTTCTTTGAAGAGTATTACCATCTTAACAATATTGTCTTCCAATCCATGAATGTAGGATGCCTTTCCATTTATTCAGTGTATCTTTAATTCCTTCAGCAATGTTTTATAGTTTTCAGTATACATTCCTTTCACATCCTCTGTTATTTTGTTCTTTGTATGCTATTATGAATGGGATTGTTTTCTTAATTTCATTTTCAGATTCTTCATTGCTGGCACATAAAAACACAACTGAATTTTGTGTCTTGACCTCATACCTTGCAACCCTGCCAAATTTCTTGGTACTAATGATTCTATGGGGAATCTATGAAATTTTCTATATATAGAAACATGTCATCTGCAAGTAGGAATAATTTTACTTCTTCCTTACTAATTTGGATACTTTTATTTCTTTTTCTTGCCTGATTGACCTAGCTAGTATTTCTAGAACAACATTGAATAGCAGTTGTAAAAGGGGACGTTTTTGTCTTGTTCTTGATCACAGTGAGAAAGCAAGGAAGTTCCCTTGTATTCCTAGTTTTCTGATTGTTTTTATTGTGAAAAGTGTGTATTAAATTTTGTCAAGTGCTTTTTCTATATCTATTGAGATGATCACCTGTTGGTAATTTTTTCCCTTTGCTCTACTAATGTGATATATTAAATCATTTGATTTTCTTAGGTTGAACCACTCTTGCATTTCTGGCGTAAATTCTACCTACTCATGATGTTAATCCTTTTAATATTCTGTTGGATTTGATTTGCTAGTGTTTTATTAAGAATATTTATGCCCATATTTATAAAGAAAATGGTCTTTAGTTTTCTTTGACATGTCTGTCTAGCCTTGGTATCAGGATAATTTTATTCTTGTTGACTGTTAAGTATTCCCTCATCCATTTTTTGGAAGAGTTTGAGCAGTATTGTTGTTAATCATTTGTTTGGAAGAATTCACCAGTGAAGGCATCTGTTTCTGAACTTGTCTTTGGTTGGGGGTTTTTGATTTCTTATTCAAAGTCTTTAATTGTCATATAGGTTGTTGAGATTATCTATTTCTTCTTGAGTCATTTTGGTAATCTGTTTCTAGGAATTTGTGCATTTCATCTAGATTATCTATTTTTGGCATAGAACTATTTACAGTATTCTCTTAATTCTTTTGATTTTTGTAAGCCCATTAGTAATGTGCCTGCTTTCATTTCTGATAGAAGTAATTATACATATTCTCCTTTTAGTTAGTCTAGCTGACAATTTGTCAATTTTGTTGATATTGTCAAAGGACAGACTTTTCATTTTGTTGATTCTCTTTTCTATTCCATATTTTGTTTATAAATGCTCTGCTCTTTGTTATTTTCTTCCTCTGCTGGCTTTGGGTTTAGTTTTCCCTCCTTTTTCTAGGTCCTTAAAGTGTAAATTTAGGCCGTTGATTTGAGAGCTATCTTTTTAATAAAGGAATTTACAGTCATAACATTTCCTCTGAGCACTGGCTTTGCTGCACCCATAAATTTGGGTGCATTGTGTTTTCATTTTTATTTATCTCATATTGTTTTCTAAATTCTCTAGTAATTTCTTCTTTGGCCTATTGGTTGTTTGGATGTGGTATTTAATTTCTATGTATTTTTCATTTTTCCAGTTTTCCCTTCATTATTATTCTAGCTTTATTCCGTTGTGGGTAGAAAATATGCTTTGTGATTTTGACCTTTTAAAATCTTGAGAATTGCTGTGACTAACATGTGGTCTATCCCAGAAAATGTTACATGTGCACTTAACGTTCTAATATTCTAATGCTGCTGGGTGGGGTGTTTTGGATATGTTTGCTGAGTCTAGTTCATTTATAGTGTTTTCTAGTCCCCTATTTTCTTTTACATTTTCTATCTAGATGTTTTATCCATTATTTAAAGTGATGTGTTGAAGTCTCCAACTATTTTTACACAATTGACCCTCCATATATGTGGGATCTGCATCCATGATTCAACCAACCATGGATCAAAAATATTTGAAAAAAATAATAATAACAATGCAGCTATAAAAAACAATACAAGTAAAAATCAGTATAGTATAACAACTATTTACATAGCATTTACATTGTATTAGATATTATAAATAATCTAGACATGATTTAAAGTATACAGAAGGATGTGTGTAGGTTATATGCAAATATGGTGCCATTTTATTTAAGAGACTTGAGCATCTGTGAATTTTGGTGTCCATAAGGGATGTTAGAACCAGTTCTCCATGGATACCAAATTACTGGTTCATAACTACCTGTGCCTCCCTGTGATTCTAATAACATTTGTTTCACTCATTTTAGGGCTCATTGGGCATGGGTGTTTCTAATTTTTATATCTGCTTGATGATCTGAGACTTTTACCAATATAATATGTCACCTTTTGTCTCTTGTAAGCAGTTTATAACAAAATCTATTTTGCTGGTAATATTACAGCCACTCCAACTCTTTTTGGTTACTATTTCCATGGAATATCTTTTTTATCCTTTCACTTTTAACCTATTTGTGTCTTTAGATCTAAAGTGAATCTCTTTTTAAGGAACGTATAGTTGGATCATTATTTTCTTCATTTGGCCAGTTTTTCTGTTTTAAGTGGTGAGTTTAATCTATTGACATTTAAAGTGATTATCAATAATGAATTTACTTCTGCCATTGTGCTACTTGTTTGGCATGTCAAAATTTTGTTCCTCTATTTCCCCAATATT